AAAGTAGTATCGGATATTCATGGATTCAAAATTTCAGAGGCTGAATACATTTTCAAAACCAGAACTAAAAATTTTTCTTTAGTAGGAATACCATAAATAATTGCCTCTTTTTTCATGATTTGACTTTTTTTATAAATTTCTATATCTTAATTTACTGGCTCTTTAAGAAAATGATTTTTTGTCTAGAGACGCTTAAGTGAACTTGTACATTGGTAATATTTTTGTTTTAGGAAGTCATTTAACATTTCCATAACATGAATAACACTACCATCTGTAAGCTTTGTAAAGTTCCAGTGTGCTCAAATAATTTTCAAATTCATGTAAATGGGGCAAAACATCAACAGTTATTAAACATTGCTGCAAAACAAGAGAACCGAGAAATGTGTGGAATATTTGTAACAGGTAGGACTTTATAAATTTTTTTAAAATTTATTCTGGGCAAGTAAAATTAGCTGTAGGTAAATAAAAATTAATGGGAGTTGTCCATTATGTCGTCTTATGTTTATTATTTAGGTTTTCCAGAATCGGTTGTTGAAAATGAAATAGTCCAATTCTTTGCAAACTTTGGGTATTTAAAAAGTCATTATTTGGATAAACAGAAGAAGTTTCTGATTGTAGAATTTGACAGACCTCAATCAGTTGAGAATGTGCTAAAAAGAAATATTTTCCTTGAAGGACGAAAATTAATTATAAAACGAAGGAAAACACGAAAAGATGGAAAAAGAAAAGTGCAAGGTAACAACAGAAAATTTCTAACGCCATTTTATATAAACCTTCGAAGTGTACTTGGATATTACAAGAGTACTTTAAAATATTGTTTTTGCGTATAAAACAGCAGGAACATTCATTTTCTATAGAATTATTTTTTTATCAAAAAATAGTGAATTAAGGTATATAATAAATACACTTATTTACGTTTCAAAGCACAGCAAAAAAAATATTTAGATCAAAAATTAATTAGCGAGAAATGCATATATATTTATTATTAGGTGCTTCTCCACATGGTAAAGAGGAAATGAAAGTACAGGTGCCAGTTATGGACTGCGACAAAATCATTGCCGGCTTAAAGAACTTAACAGTGGACTTTGAGGATCAAGTTATTGAATTTCTTTCTCTGATTCATATTTCAGCTGAAGATTCGCAAAAGAAATATGGCATGCTTCAAAATCATCTATATCAACTCTTAAAGCGTATGTTTACTCAATGTAAATTGTATAGATTTGGTTCTACCACAACAGGACTCAATTGGGATTGCAGTGATGTGGACATTTTTTGTAACACAAATGACAACCAAGTCATCCCTCAAGATCAGTTGGTGAAAAAAGTACGTAATTTTATGTACAAAGACAGCAAATTCGCGAATGTATTTGCTATGCCACGGGCAAGAATACCAATCGTGCGATTTGTTCATGTTCCAACCCAACTAACTTGCGACCTTAACTTCAGAAATATGTTAGGAGTTCATAATAGTGAATTTATCTCATACGTTTGGACAACGGACCCACGGCTGAAGTCACTTATGTTTATAATCAAATTTTGGGCAAAAATTAATGGTTACTCTAGCGGAAATGCGAAGTTCTCTAATTATTTACTAACAGTAATGATGTTATTTTATTTACAACAAATGCACGATTTTCCTCCTATTTATTCGATGCTAAAAGTGGTCGACAGCAATGAACTGGTTGATAATTGGAATCCACATTTCAAGAAGAATCGCCTTGAATTAAGCAAAATTAGAGACGTGAGTTTAAAAGATTTACTCTACGGATTCTACGAATTTTACGCTCATTTCGACTTTGGTTTGTATGTGATAAGTCCCTATCTTGGCAAACCAATTTTAAAAATATTATTTACCAATTTAAAACAACTACCTGTTCAATTAGATTTTTACAAAAATAATATTCGCGAAAAGCGAACAGCACCTTTACCAATTGATAAATTTTTTTGCTGTGTACAAGATCCGTTCGAATTAAATAACAATATAGCCAAAGGGATATCTTTAAAGATCTTACAAATGTTTTGTACCTCATGTAAAACGGCAATGTACGTTCTTACTAACAATCTTAAGAAAAATACCCTGTGGTGTTTATTTACTGAAAAACTGAGTTCGGATAATACCTGCGATCCAAATAATCTTGAAATCATTATCAGTGTACCTCATCAGGTAAACTTACTTCAAAGACTTTTAAAATCGGACAACATCGACGAAAGTCGAATAAGGAAAGCTTGGTTTGACTTTTTAAAAAGTTATTTAAAAAGAACACTTGAGGAAGTACTACTTTTAAAAACAAGCGTAAAAGACTGTTGTAGTGGAAACGAAATATTGCGGGTAAAATTTAAAGATGAATTTAGTGAAAGTAAAATATCTCGAAAAGACGGACAAAATGACGTTTACGATAATGAAACAATTATTCCTATTAAAACTGAGTGTTCTGAACAAACTTCTAAATGTGAAGTTGTTTCTAGTGTTCAGTTCGAGTGTACTAGTGGTTTTAATGTATTGGACTTGAGAAAAAAATACAAGCCTTCCTCTGAAAGTAGTAAAAACATACTTGAAGATGAAATCCAAATTTCAACTCAACTTGCGAAAAATTTTACCATTCCACAAAAGGAAAGTAGTATCGTTAAATTTGACATTACTTTATCTTGCAAGAGTAATCCTACGGAATTCCTAGTAAAAATGCACAAAATTAATTCACAAAGTAATTACTTTGAGCGCCTTTTTGGTTACATTGGCAAAGCATTAACAGGTAACCTTGCTAGATATGTTAATGAATTAGAAACGTCAGAGATTTCACAAAAATAGATATTGCAGTTTTTATAGCAGGTTGCTAGTACCGTTTTCTATGTAAAGTACATTAAAATGAAATTATTCTTGGCTGTACGATTTTCGTATATTTACATAGACCACTGGTTCTTTACAAAAACGTAAATAATTATTTGAGCACTTACAAAATTTAAACAAATTATTCCATTATAAAAAAAATTAAAAAGAAACTTGGATGCAGGATCTATTCATAACTGCTAGATAAGTAAAATAATTGGAACATTGCAATGTATTTTATCTGTTTGATTGATAAAGCTTCTATTTTCTGAGTTGTGGTTTTTCAATTTAGAAATCATTCATGATATATGAAAATATATAAATCTTAGGCAATAGAATTATTTCTAAAATCAAATTCAATTACACCTTTGTTTGTTATTGTAAATTACATCACAGATATATAATAATTAGCAATTTTCTAACTGCAATCTTTTAAAGTAATTTGAATTACAGTTCACCAAAATTAGCCAGTTTTGGTCCTTTCTTTGACACCTTTTTTGTTTTCTTTTTATCTTTTACTGAAGTGTTTGTGTTATTTGTAGTTTTTAATGAAACAGTTTTTCTATATGGATTTAAATAATTGGGATCTCTTTCAGTATAATTTAATTCTTGATTTACTAAATTTAGTAATTTCATAGTACTTTTATCCAGAAGGTGTTCAACTTGGTAACAGAATGCTATAGTCCATTGCAGTTGAATATCCCACTTGTTATTTTGTTTTAATATTACATCTGCAACATCTGGAAATCGAAGAACGACCTCGGAGAAAAGAGCTGTATTTTCGAGGATATTCGACAAACAGTCCCGAACTTTTTCGTCATTTGGAAACTCTGAAATGCCTGGTATGTAACCTGATGACTCAATATGAGCACGGCAATCTTCAAAAATACTAAACACCTTCTCAGCCATTAGGTTTATCATAGAATGTTGCTTCTCTATATTACTTAATTTCTTTAAATTTTTTACTGCTGCAAGTTGTTCTGCTCGTCTTTGCTTGAATAGAGTTTTGTCTAGTTCTATTTTAAGAAAAATTTTAATGAAATTAACATACTTCAAAGAATTCGTTAAAAAAGGATACAAACTTCTTCAGGTAATTGTGTCAAACCACACACTAAGTGAAGTATATGAACTTGTAGAATAATACTAACAATACAACTCATAATATTAATTGCAGCGAAATTATAAACAATTATCCTTAAATTAGAAAATTAAAAATTGCCGTCTCCGTTAACCTCAAAGTAAAGATAAAAACAATCTGTGCCTAACATAGATAATAGGTGCCTAAAAAGTGGATATCCACGTAAATGTTTGCCGAGCACCATAGATAAGAAAAACTCGACCTCTTGTCTATGACCATATAACCATATTATCTATGACAATATAATAAGGAACGTAGTGGTCTATGGTATTGGTTGTTTAACCTAATACATTTCAATTTTATGAAGTTTATTTTACATAATTATATTTAATTTTCTTTGAAATTTTGTGTTGATATTGTAAATTTAAAGTGTGTTTTAGCTAGCACACGTAATTTCGCTATTTTCCTAATCCTTTTCCTACGTGGAATAAATGAGGGCATATTAAAGTTTGCTCTTCTCTTGTTGATCTTGGAGGAACGTCTTGCGTTTAATTTAGGTGCGAATAAATACAATAATTAATATTTATTTATTTATGTATTATAGATTACGGGTTTACATCCAATTGCAAAAAGAATACAATAATTTTATAATTATACCTGATAAAAACAAAAAGTACTATTACTAAACTACCAATTTTGTTTTAGATCTCCAATTAAAGTTATATCAGTTAAGCAAAAGTTAATGATAATAATATATTGTATTTTGCAACTCTTATTTAAAAACTAAATAACACCTACCTAAAACACTGACATATCTTACTGGTATTAGAATCTAATATAAAATTTAAAAGCTTATTGTTTGTGCATAAAGTATTTTAATAACTATCAGGATCTTCTTATATCAAAATGAAATTGTAAATAAACCCTTTAATGCTTACACTCAACGCATATTATTTAAATACTTATAATTATTTTGAACAGATCTATACAGTTATTTTTGTATTATATTACATTTCCCCTTTTTTAGACTATCTAAACAGTATTCTTAGTTTTAGCATTTCCAACAATTTGACTACGAAGGAAAATAGTACTTTGAACTACTTCAGAGTTCTTTGTTGGTATTTTGGGTTGTTGACTAAGGAAGTGGACATTATACTGTTGATGTTCCAGAATTGTTCTTTCCAAATATTTGACACTGGATTAGAAAGGTATAATTAATTTTTTTACCTTTAAATGTAAAATTAATTTATCTCTTATATTTAATCAACTAAAAGTACCAATATGTATTACAATTGTAAGTTATGGCTGAAAATAATTTAATAACTGGAAGTGCACATTCAACCCCAAATTTAAAAACGTTTTTATTTTTTGAAAAATGAATTTCTTTCTTATTAAACCTGTTGAAAGTACCAAAATGTATTAAAGTTGTTGGAAAGCATCCCTGAAAAGAATTTTGTAGTTGGAAATTACCAGGGTTTGAAAACATTATTTTTATTTCTTGATAAAATAAATTTTCTCTTATTAAACGAACAGAAATCACCAAAATGTATTAAAGTTATTATGAGGCATCTATAAAAGGAATTTTATATTTGGAAATTAACGGAGGTGCACTTTCAATCCCTAATTTGAAAACGCTGTTGTACCAAAATGTATTGTACTTGTAAATTACCGGTGTGCACTTTCAACTACCAATTTGAAAACGTTATTTGTATTTCATGATAAAATAATTTCGCCCTTATTAAACGAGCGTAATTACCAGTATGTATTAAAGTTGTTATGAAGCATCACTGAATACAATATCTTCGTTGGAAATTAACAGGGTGCACTTTTAAGCCCCAATTTAAAGGCGTTAGGTGGGCACAAGCTAAAATTATGTAGCTGATACGTACTAGTGAATATTTTCATCCCTCTTTTTGAAAACGGAGTCTTTAATAAAGGAATTATAATTGCTACTCCTGACTGACGAGAGAATACTTTGCAGTACAGTGGGTTGCCTATACGAAAGACTAACAATCACGAGCAGTGTTTAAATGTATTATTGATTTATCATGATACCTTCCCACGAAATTAAATGAGTGCGCTGTAGTCTAGCAGATAAAGATAGAAATGTTACAGTGCAAGTCGAAATTTGTAAACAACTAAATATTTGGATTTTAATTAAATAATATAAATTTATTTGGTACTTAAATACTCTATGAAATTAATTGTGATTTTACAGCACTTAACACTGTTGATGTATATGAACGTTTTCACTTTGTATTGCATATTTTTCTAAGTGGACATTTTTATATTGTGTCCTGTACATTACAATTTTTTATAGTACTACTGATAAAGGCGATGAATGCGGACAAAAAAGTGTTAGCTTTATATGAAAAACTTGTTATGAGGATATAAAAATGAAATAATGTAATAATAGTCGAAGAGATAGATGCTTCTTAATCAAAAATAGCAATTGATGAAGAGGAAAAGTAATATACCTGCCTCTTTTTTTAGTTCGCGTATAATAACAACGATAAGAACAAAATAATGATTTTTTAATTGTCTGTCTAAAGATTAAGAAATGTGCAACAGTTTTTTCTTTCGTAGACATCTAAAGTTTATAATTTCAAAAACCATTGTATTTTTAAAAAATCCATGTTTTCAAACATTGCATACCAATAAAAAAAACATGAAGTTTTAGTTTTACGTAACACCCTTGTAAGAAATGGTATGCACTTTTCGTTGGCACAGGCATGGAAAAAATAGTAATTTTGAATTATCTCAAATAAAAATTAAAAATTAAAATTTCCTACCCTTTTATGCCAATGTTTGTCAATTTTTTCAGAAGGGTTTTATAGCTAAAAGTGCCTTTCTTTTCATTATCATGCAATTTGAAAACACGGAATTTTAATTTGTTTTCACAATTATTCTCGACTATTCAAGCCCTTTGGGCTATTTTGGATTGCATTAACTATTTTACGCTACAAATGCATGCAATATGATGTCACTGAAAAACACTTTTTTTCTGAAAATAAAATTTAAATTATCCCTATGACTGAAAAACGTACATCGGTTAAAAACATTTTTACCTTTTTTATCAACGAGAAAATTATAAAATCGTCTGAAAATACATATTCTGACTAGAATCTTGAATTCTTTCATGAATTTAATGACAAATTAAAAAAAAAAAATACAACGTGTAATTATACAACACGCTATTGAAGTGAAACTTTTTCAAACACACAAACATACCGGATTTGTTTTTATTTAATGTCGCAAAAATATCTGTTATATACTTTGTCCAAATCGAGAGCTTTTGCAATTTTTTTTCGATGAACGTTTTTGTTTAATAATGATGAACATATAATTTTCTGTTTTTCCGTAATATTTTTTTTTGTTTGGTTTGGTGATTAAATTAAGTAGATCAGTCACAATAAGTTAAATGTAGCATATCAGAGGCAACATTAATGTATTATTGTATTATTTTTCGATATTCTCAGTTTTCGCTACTATTCCACATGTATTAAGGATTACTGATTTTTATTAATCATCATTATCATAGGGTCGTCAGTCCTAAGATTGGTTGGACACGTATTATTATATTTAAAGCTTGATTTAAATACATCCACAAATACTCCGTTCGATGCGTGTTAACCAAAGAACCACATAAAATTTATTTTTAATTAGTTTACTTAAAAACTTTGCAATAATTCTTAGAAATTCTTATAAGTAGTTAAAACAAATATCGTAGTTTTATTGGAGTAATTATTTTTTAAAGGCGAATCAGTTTCCATTTACGAATTAAATTAGTTGGTATAATTGAACGCACTTATAAAACTTTGTTATTTATGTATCATGGGTTATAGAAGGGATTTTTATCTATGGATCATCCCACGATCTCATCTCAGTTGTCGTTATCTGTCTATGTCTTGTCTATGGTCTATGATTCATCTTGCATGCACCTTGTCTATCTTGTCCAATCTTACCTTCGGTTTTCGAGAAGACGGCAGGTTACCCTTTTTGCTGTTCATAAATGGAGACGACGCCGGAAGGTATTTAAACCTAATTCTTATTTGATTTTCATTTGATTGTGTGGAATACTGTTCTATCTGGTGATTTATCGGTTTCGGTTACCATTGCTTAGATCTTTTTGGCGTGAATGTCTTCCGTGCCGATTTGGTTTTGTGCTTCAACGTGGGGTTCCATCTTAGTATCTAACCCATCCTCTCATCTGCGAATTTTTATGGACTCATAGTTTATTTGAGGTTTAATAATTACGGTTTTGTTAAAATTTTTTGAATTTTCGAAACAGGTTTCGGCGATGATTGTAGATTTTTCATATTAATTTGACCACGCCGCAAAAAATATTTCTATATTCCTTTAATGTTCTAAATTTCTGTTAAAAAAATATCACTTTTGCCTTATTATTTTATAGATTTGGTTTTAACGACTTGTTTTGTTTTTCTACAGTTCAGACCTGCTTTGAGATGACATCCTTGGATTTGATGGGCAAACGGCTTACACATGTAATGTTTGTGACAAACAAACAAACAACAAAAATACTTATAATGAGCTGGTCAAATAGGATAGAGGGTACTAACAATGGTAATTATCATTAATAATAAAATAACAAAACCTAGTGAACATATAAGTAATATTAAATTGTTTCAACAGGTTTCCATTAAAACATAAAGATGAAC